CGCTACATACAATTTCATAAAATTATGTATAAACACCTGCTTACTAAAGACGTATAAATAATTTAATAATGAAAGAGTCGAAAATGTTCATTTCACAAAGTAAATTCGGTGTTATGAATTAAATACTTAATTAATATAAATTTAAAGCTTTGATCAAAACGTTATGTTTAAATAGACTGTTACACTCAGTTCTTTGATATAACAATCGCCTGGCTTTATATCATGAGATTAAATTAAATCCACTCCACGTACGAAAAATATTTTCTGAATAATAAGTTTGTTTTTTTAGATTCCATAATATTACGGGCAATGTGTGTAGGATCTTCATCGGTAATACAAACAGAAACATCTATTTCCATATAGAAAGAAATCACAGGCCGATTGAAAGTCCTATGGATCAGATGCATGCACACCACACAGACCTACAAACACTTTAAATTGTCCAACTTTTCCTATATGACAAAATATTATGACGTCATTTCCGGTTTTTTATTTCAATTTTTATAAAATATATGAGTGGAATTCATACCAAAAATGAAGATATCGACTCGTGAAATAAAGGTATCGACCCCTATCGAAGGCAACTTTTTAATTTTTTTTTAAGTCATCAAACTCTTTTTTTATATTAATCTTTGAAGTCTAAAATTCCGTAAATAAAAAAAAAATAATAATATTAAAAGTATAACTGATAGCTGTCTGTACTGGAAAGATATTTGAGAAAAACTATTATTGGGGGTCTTTCTCATTAGAACCCAAAACAATGATTTTTAGAATTTTTGTCTGTTTGTCTGTGCATTTGTGCTGCTAATCTCAGAAACGGCTTAACCGATTTAGGTGCAGTTTTCACTAATGTATTGTACTTAATGTGAATTTATCACTTAACTCTAAGTATTTGTTTTACTTATATCGGTTCATAAATAAAAAAGTTATGTCAATATAAAGAATCATCTAGGGACGAACCCGGGCGAAGCGGGGTAAGTCGTTAGTATTTTTTTTTTTAATTTATAATAATAAAACCTTAAAATACATTGAATTTAATTCTACGTTACTTAATTTTCATTAACAATTATGGTAGGCTTCATAATTTCGTCATGAAGCCAAAAAGATATTTGCTTTTAACAATAATTGTAGTGAGTAGGTATACTTTTGTATATAACTGAAATTCGATAGGTAACTAACTGATATACAACTTCAACTGCCTCGGTGGTCTAGTGGCTAGCACGTACAGCTACAGATTTGGAGGTCCTGAGTTCAAGTTCCGAGTCGGGCCCAGTTCAATTATTGAGTATTTCTGTCAAGAAATTATCAGTAATAGCCCGGAGTTGGGAAGTTAGCGGTGTTCCACCCCCGTGCCTCGGAGAGCATGTAAGGCTGTCGGTCCTCCGCCTTAACTCACTGTTTGTGTCGAGCAGTCATCTCACCGGAGTATGAGAGCGACAGGAATAGAGTGTTCACTTGTGTTTGGGCGCATACTTGAGTAAAGCATCTATTGCACATCTGGCTAGTCTCAATGAGATTGGCCGCCGTGGCCGTAATCGGTTGGGAGAACATTATTATTAAACTACATTTTTATCTTTTATACGTAACATTTATCACTGATATCAGAAATCGTATGAAATATTTCAGATTACAGTTTGACGTTATTTGCGATTTAATTATCACCAGTGAATTCAATTTTAAATATTTACTCTACAAAATAAATAATGTAACGCAGTTACAGGTTATGAGGTTTTGATCGCGTAAATTATATATAAATAAAGGGGAAACTGATTAACTGATTGACTGACATATTTACGTAGTGTTAAAACTACTAAACGGGAATTTATTATGACATATATTATGATTTTTTAAGAAATCGAAGCATTTTTTCAAGTTGTTATATGTATATACTAGCATTGCTCGCGGCTCCGCCCGCGTTCAGATGACCAAAAAGCAAATTCTTAGGTTTTACATATAAGTATACTCTTACAATGCAGTTTTTGTATTTTTTCTCAGAAATGAGATATTTTCCCGCGGTAAAAAGTATCCTATATGTTGACCCGGATTACCAGCTATCACTCACTATACCAAATTTCATCAAAATCCCTCCCCTAATTTTTTCGTGGTGCGGTAACAGACAAACAGACAGACGGACAGACGGACGGACCGACGGATGGACGGATGGGCGGACGGACGGACAGACGGACGGACAGACAGACAGACAAAAATTTAAAAAACTATAGATTCGGACTCTGTATCGATAATAATGTCTATCAGATTCGACTAAGTTACAATTTTATTATATGTATAGATGGTAGGTTGAGTAAGCGCTGTGACATCTTTTGAATTCTTTGTCTTTGCAGAATAGCAACTTATCTTCTTTTCTCTCGAATGCGTCCATAGGTCGGTAAATAGATAAAAATAGTTATTTCGAGTGTACATTTGAAAATAGACATTATTATGTCTAATGTAGACTTTTCTGTAGGCGTTTTAAGACCTTTCTATTATCTGTCTTTTCCTTTTAGCCAGCATTAGAAATTGTAAAATGAGAACGATTTGTCTAACCAGTTATTGTGTTTTACCGTGGAATTAACAGATTTTACTGTAGTAAAAGGTGTTCTTAATGTCGCCCGGAGTAATAAGTTATGACACAAAATATAATTAAGATCTGTTCAGTACTTTTTGCGTGAAATGCATGCAGATATACAGACATAAATACACAGATAAACATAAATTTTTAATAACTATTGTTTTGGGGTCTATATTCTGTACACAATACGTTACAGTCATTGTTTTTAATAAATATTTCACGAAAAAATTTCGCTAAGTTACTGTTTTATATATTACTAGCGGAACCCGCAGCTTCGCTCGCGCTAAAACTACAAAAATATCTCTAAAAAGGTAGATTTCATACAAACTTTTATCCTCTATTTTACCCCCTTATAGGAAGAATTTCGAAAAATGCTACAACTCGTATTTATTTTATTGTATTGAAGAGCATTAATAAGTACCAAGTTTCAAGTATTTCTGATAATAAATATTTTATTGGGTTATATTATAACGTGTTTTCTCGTGGGAATGAGATAATCTCTAAAAAGTCTTAGCCTATATCATTCTCCAGCCTTCCAACTATCTACACACAAATAATCACGCCAATTCGTCACTCTGTTTTGACGTGAAAGAAGGACAAGCAAACAAACATCTTTCACATTTATAATATTAGTATGGACATATAATATGTATAGATTAAAAACATACAATACCTATACATACTCTCCATACAAATATCATGTCAGGAAACAGACACAATGAGTACTAGAATAATTTTCTATTTTAGATCCCTATATATTAACGCCAAGCTTCGTCTTTGAAAGGTGAATAGGTCTCTGGGGTATGAATTGTTATGGGGCAAGTTATTATTATTAAATTCCACAGGCAATATTAAGTTTGCCATTTAAACAACTTACGCTAATATCCTACTAATATTATAAACACGACAGTTTTTAAGAATGTATATATATAGATGTATGTTTGTTACTCTTTCACGTAAAAACTACTGAATGGATTTTGATGAAACTTTACAATAATATAGCTCATACATCAGAATAACAAATAAACTACATTTTATCCATGAAAAATGTACGGTTCCCGTGGGATACATTTGTTCGTTTCTCATATTTGTTTTCCATATTTCAATATATTTTGGGTATTTGTAACAAAACAATAATCTGCACTCAATTACGGTTCAACGAAAATATTGGATTATACATCATTAATTAAGGTCCCAATAACTAATGCTCTTGAAGTAGATCCAATAAGTTACAGTTAAGTATATCACACGTATGTTTTTGTATAATTGAAGCTTAGTTATTGTATACTTATAAATTAATTTTGTACTGTTTGTCTGTTATTTGTATATCAAAATGACTATATTTAGTTAAAATTATGTCCGTTTATCTGTTTCACTAATCTCCTGAACGGCTAAATCGAAATTTAAACGACGAATATAAGATTTGGTCTTACATTACATAATTTTTAATCATAGTAAAACAGGGGTGGAGCTGGCAGCAAAATTTAGTTTACAATATGTTACAACACTGCATATTCTTTATAACGCCATATGTTAACACAAATGGGAGTCACGCGCGAGATCGCATATTACAAAAGTTTACCACCCAAAGTTGCTTTACGATTTAATGCAAGCCTCATCTATATCTGTATGGAACTGTAATTTCATTACCGCATGGTCTTAATTCCGAGTGCAGGAGTGAATTAGGGAAACATAACATTAGCATTTCAAATGGGATAATTCTGGGAACGCGGATTAAGATGGGCTCAGACTAGACTAGTTTGTACCGACTTTGACTGTTCAATTTAGTGTTGTTCTAGTTTTACTTGAAAGCAATATTTTGTTGTTTAATCTGTTCAGACGTTTTAAATTGTTTTTTTTATTTTGAAGTAGAATTTAATGTGCTTTTTGTGAGGTTGTACGAAAATAATGTGTTATAAGATTTTTGAAGTGTTGCAAAACCAATGATTTTAAACAATAATAATTTTACAACTATAAAATAAAGGTATTTTTATTGTAATGGATCATCACCTTTATTCTACATTTTTACCAGTGATGGCCATAAATTATATATGAGAAAATAATAATAATATTGCAATAAGCTTAACACACTTAAAAGCGATTCAAATCGTTTAAGTTTTTGCAGCCCCATACTATTTTTATAAGACTATAATATATAATAAAGATATTTCTTTGTTTCAGATTACACGGATCATTAGTCAAGTAAAAATTGAAGTCTGAGGGAGAGCTATTAAATAAAGGCAGCACGTTTAGACCCAAGCGGTCCTCATGAATATGACATCAGCGGTCCTTAGTTGACCCATGTTGATTTATGTCCTCGTAATCCATCATACTTGATAAAATCCAATTTTAGTGCTACATTCTGGCAACATACAATATGGGATTGAAATGAAAGTATTAGTGAAATTTTAATGCTATGATATAAGTAAAAATGCGACGTCGGGCGTTACCCGCGAGGGAAACTACTTCTAAATCTTGGCATAGTATCTGTGACAGTGAGTGGGCAGTGTACGTTTTAGTGGCTTTGGTTGGTGCTTTAACATACTCGAATAGTTTGAATGGTGAGTTTGTACACGACGATATTCCCGCGATAGTGACTAATAGGGATGTGACAGCCAAAAATCCAGTTTTGAGGATATTTAAAAATGACTTTTGGGGCACGCCGATGTCTGATACCGGCAGCCATAAGTCCTATCGGCCGCTGACCACATTAACGTTTAGGTAAGTGTATACATTTTTTGATACTAAACTGTCTTAATCTTTAATTACTTTGTGTATTGTTTTGTAATTTGTTTGTCTGGTGATTTTAGAAATAACTAGCATATACCCGTGGCTGGATCCGCTAGGTCATTTATGAAAAATTAGATCCACTCCATTAACACGTTTAAATAATAGCTCAGCTTTGTATTACAAAATATTTTTGCAGCTAGTATTCACACTGTTGTGAAGTAGTTAGTTAAAGATAGGTTTACTTGTTTCACTATTTTGAAATTTAAAAACACCACAACTCTATTATAATATATACAAAATTTACTGACCTTTTACTATAACTATATAATGTAAGATTCAACCCTCACAATTCATGCGATCTTGTTTTTGGTGTTAAGCAAACATAAATGTTGTAATGGAACGGCTGGTTTGATAGATAGGGGATACGTTGGACGCTAATAGCTTTATTTATAACAACATTGTGTTGTGGTTTTTCATGACAACTATCGTTTACGTAATACTAAATGTTTCTAATTCGATATTAAAAGAATAATCTAGTTGTTATTACTTATTAGGCAAACTTACATTGCTATAAATCTTACGGCAAAGGAAAATACATATAGAATGAATAATATATAAAATAAAAATAAATATGTTCTGACATTAACATACAGCACCATCTAGTTCCATGGTAAGCTACGAGGCTACGAAAATATCTGATTAGGTATCCATTTTAATATAAATGATTTAATTATTTTTTACATTTTAGTGCCTGGGAGTCAGTTTTTTTTAAGTTTTTATATTTCTATTTTTAGTGTAGACGTAATAAGTAGGTAATTTGTTGCAAGAAGAAAGTTTTTTAATAACATATTCGATTAAGAAATTAATTTTAAAAAAATAATTTATTGTTGATTTTTTAAAAGACCGCTCGACCGCTTTCGTTAAAATGTATACGGGACCACCTGGGAAGTATACCCTTTGAAACAAAAAAAATCCAAATCGGTTCAGGCGTCTTCGAGTAACCCGTGAAGGTACATAAAAAAAAGATTCCGACGAATTGAGAACCTCCTCATTTTTGGAAGTCAGTTAAAAACAAAGATTTATTTCTAAGGTTTATATACATACATACATATATACATAAAATAATTTATTTTTGAATTGAAAAATCAATTATTCTGCATTAAAAACTACATATGAATGCATGTAGACGGATCGATAGATAATTCTTGGACACTTATATAGTCAGTCGCACTAATCTTTGCCTGTATAAATAAATATGTACATACTTTGACGTACCAATTTTTCATATTCAAACGTAAATCTATGAAACTACAATTCAGATTTATTTATTTTTATTAGCTTATTAATTACTTGCAGCTCTAGAAAAACAAAAACAAATCTATCCCTCGGGAACCATATATTTATCCGGAATGAAAAGCAGCCTATGTGTTATTCCACAGTATAATTTATCTCTGTGTCAAATTTCATCTAGATCCGTTCAGCGGTTCTCACGTGAAAGAGTAACAAACGTCCATACGTATTTACAAACTTTTACATTTATAACATTAGTATAGATTAAGGAATATTTTAGGTTATCTAACTATAAATGAAGGCTATGTAAGCGGATCCGTCGCGGGTAAAAGCTACACCGTTAGTACTGACTGGTAATAATAAAAAAGCTTCCATTTCTAAGCAAGAAAAAGCTGAACAAAATGAGAAAAATGTTGTTATTAAACGGTAAATATTTTTATGATGGAAATTAATAAAGGGGTAAGTTGATCGCAGCGTGAAGACACTGATTAATATTCCAGAACATTTAATTATGTGGCAAGTTGTTAGCGGCAGCGGAGGTACTTCATTTGGATATATGTGATTTATGTATTAACTAGCTGTACCCGCGGTTTTGCTCGCGTTCAAACTTGCGATCGCTACCAAAGTTCACAAGATCACCCGCTGGGCTAATCTGAAGGTTGCCTAAAAAAAAATTTTAAATTTTTTTCCAACCGTTTTACAGTCAATAGCGAATATACATACGCACATTTCATATACTAATTATAAGATTTTACTAATAATTTAAGATCATTTATATACAGTGTTGTAGTTACACTTAAAGATATTTATGTAAAGATACCGAAATAGCATTTCAAAGTTATTTCCCCTTATGATATTTCCCAAAGCAAATAAAAGAGTATAAATAGAATATGTGCATTTTTGCGGATTATCTTTCGCAATCGTCTTTGTCGTGCTTTCAATATTCTTCCAATTTTCTAAAATATAACGTATGCTAATACGAACCTTAAGATTTAGGCAATAATGATCAATCTAATATATTCGGCTCTACAAATATTTTTTTCAGTACAGGGAACTGACGTGTGGTATGTAGATTCGACATTCCTACCATAGTTTTCTTTTTTATATACTACAGTTGATATCGTTGGATCATATTAAAATTGTATGTCAAAATGGAACATATATAGCACAACACAATATTAATATTTCATTAAAAAATCGGATAGAAAAAAAAGAAGATTGTTACTTTATTTGCTTTTCTTTCATTATAAATCTATAATACTCGTGCTATACATAGCGTGAAATATGTAGAAATCTATTAGAAAATTATAATACGCATTCGCTAGCGAATGACGTTATTATTGCCAATAGTACCGTCATGATTATCTTTTTTATGTTACGGATAATATGAGAATACTATGTGAATGGGAAAACCGATTTGTTATTTTCCTTTCACATCCGTATCATTTCAGAATAACATTCTCTTTCTATTGCTATCCATGTGCTATTTTGATGATTATTATTGACTCGATAAGCTATATATGGTAAGCTATATATGGTAAGCTATATATACGATTATATAAAGGTAACCATTTATGGTATTACTAGCGACTCACCCTCGCTTCGCTCGGGTTGATCCCTAGGTTGATTCCCCAGACAAAACTTCATCCCCATTTTCACCCCCTTAAGGGATGATTTCTGGGATAAAACTATTCCTATATGTCCTCTCCAGGGTCTCGAAACTATCTTCTTACCAAATTTTATCTAAATCGGTATAGTAGTTTCGGATCCTATTCGGTACAAACAAAGAAACAAAAAATCAAATCTTTCCTCTTTATAATATTAGTATAGATAAACTAAAACTATAGCCGTATAAATTATTATTAGCCCCGTGGTCGAAATTCTACCATAATTATTATTGAGATTTTGAGAAAAATATATGAATAGAATTTACCTATCTATATAAAAAAAATCCTTTTCTTTATTGATTTACACTAAATAGCTTATAAAATAGCTACTTAAGCTACTAAACAAAAACTAAAGAAAAAGAAAATGGTTGACAAACAGGAGGAAAAGATACTGTATGTTTAGTCTTTGCTTATTTATGTATAGAAGATTGCAGTTGCAATTTGTTATCCTAGAGAGTTAATTTTATATGAATTGCTGTCAAAATGCTACTTTAAATAGAAAGTTAAGATAAATATAAACATATTTGCACGCGTTCACTTTCCTGACACATCTCACTCTATGTCTACTTCAAAGTCTAACCTACTGTACCGAAACTTTGTTGTTACGTCCCGCTTGTGCCAAGATGAGGGCTGAGGGATAACTGCTAATGTCTTTTCCAGGCGAGGTTATCATATCTAGATCAGATAAAACTTTGACGTACAAAGAGTAATCAGATCTGAATAAAAATTAATTTAGTTAGTCGCAAGCAAGAACTGAATCTGAACTGTAAACAGTTATAGTAGAAGACAATAATTAGAAGCTTTTTTTTTAATATCCGTAAAACTTTTTCTTTGCTGTAAAGCATTCGAAACGTCGAGAACCAAAAATCAAAATAAATCCACGAGAACAACCGAAAGTATAGTTCTATGTAAAATTTCTTTGTAAGAATTTATACAATATTCCATGGTAAATCAAGGAAAAATATATTTTTTGTATAGAACTGACAGCGTAATGATGTAAGCGTGGGAGAATAGATAACTATTTGTGTATAACGTTATTATATTATTAAAAAAGAAAATATACAAACGAAAGCCAAAAAATACAAAATGAGTTCTGTTTCCATATTTTTGTGGAGAAGTTTTTAATAATTCATTTAACATACGTGGTTTCGAAGGTAATGCCGGTGTGATCAAATTTACACTCTTTGGACTAAATAATAAGGTTTATTTTGTCTTTGGGTAAATCATTACACTGACCCAATAAAGAGAATCAGGCATATTAAATTTCTTTGGTGTTCACGTTTCTTTGAAGGAACAGATAAAGAGCGTTAAAGTAAAAGGGGGCTTTGTGTGAGAGGTAGCGTAATTTGAAATGGAATTCAGTAAGACCTTGTTTACAGTTAAAATATTAAGTCCGAGAAGTTGTAGTCAATTATTTACTTCAATATTGTTAAGCTTGTTCCTATTCTTAATATCTATTTTCACCGAATTCTATAGCTTTTTCTTAAATTTTACCCGCGGCTCTGTTATCGAGTAATGACGATAGTGAGTTCAACGTGATAGGATCGGTGAAGTCGTGGTGTTGTTATACTATACACACATATACACTCAATTTTTACGTCGCGTAATAAAATCCATACTAAGATTATAAATGTAAAAGTTTTTTTTTGTTCGTTTGTTTGTCCTTTTTTCACGTCGAAACAGAGTGATGGATTACCCTGATTTTTTGTGTGAAGATAGTTGGAGGGCTGAAAATGACATAGGCTACTTTTTACCGGAAAACATATTATTACCTAACCCAGGGACGAACCCCGAGCGAAGTATTTCATTTGTTTATGTGTTTAAATAAAAATATCTGAATTTTATTTATTTATTGGACTACTATTATGAATGCAAAGCTTTGTGTATGTTTTTGCGTGAGTGTGTATGTTCGTCACTCTTTCACACTAAAACGATTATACAGATTTGGATGAAATTTGATGCACAAATTAACTATGACCTGGAGTAATAAAAAGATTTAGGCACCTCAGAACGCACTCAAGCAAAGTGGTTTTAAGGAAAGCGGAGGTTAAATCGTTAGATGTATAATATGAGGTGAATCTTAATATTATACTTCAAACTATTTAAACTTTATTAAATTACGATTCTGTTTTAAGACCGCAGACTCATATATCTACCGACAACAAGATATTTGACAAAAACTACAAGACACAAGTACATGGAAGTAGGTCACAGAGATTCTTAGAGAGATCTCAAGACAATGGGTGTTACAAGCGCTCTGTGATAAACGACGTAGTGATGAGTGGTGGAAAACCCTTGGAAATTAAAGACGGCACTATGATAAATGAAAACCGTTCTACGGAAAGTGATTTTCTTCAATTTACTCCATTTTTTTAAACATAATGTATATTACGAGCGATTTTTTTATTTGATATCTTATGTTATTGCATTGCATTGCAGACAGTGGTAGCTTAGTGGTAGTATACCCTGATGTTTACATATACGAATCATTTAAGATATGTTTACCACTTGTCTTGCGGTGAAGGAAAATATTATCAGGAAATCTGCGTGTCTGAAAGAACCTAGCAAGTTTCCGAAAGACATGTGAAGTCCGCTAACCCGCATGGTGAACTATGGCCTGATCCCCGTCGTATTGAAGAGAGGCCCATGCCCAGCAGTGGGACGTTAAAAAGTGCCAAATGCATAGATATTGCACTAGAGGTTTGCCCACTTTGCTGCGATGTCACTCTAGGTACCTGTTGTATTTGTATTATATTCAGGCAGCGTCAAATATTTTCAGCAAATGTTATTACTAGCAAAGGCCTCTGTATTACTTCAGTTCATAGTCTGCGTAATAAATAAGCTGTGTACTAAATTTGCACTAAATGTGTCTAACCCTTTGCGCATGAACAAATATACATACAAACTAAAAAATAGATGTGCTTATTTATTTAAATATCTATCACTCGAAAACGACTGAAACAGATATTTTCCTAACAAAAAAAGAACTAAAATTCAATTTCACTGTTCAAGTAGAGCCTAAGATATCATTTAAGCTCAGGTAGCTTAAATTTTCAAAGCGCTTGTACATATATAAATCTAGGTTCATAGTTTATAGTGATTTAGCCAAAGGAAAAACAAATATTTCAGTGAAATCGCATATTGAAACTAGGATTGGTATACATTTAAATGAAACTATTTAATTTCATTTATAAAAATGTATTTACATTTTTAAATTTATTTTCAAACTTGCAGAACCCGCGGCTTCACTCGCGCTAAAACTACGAAAAATCTTCAAAACGGTAGTTTCATACAAACTTTCATCCCCCTATTTCACTCTCTTATAGGATGAATTTTGAAAAATGCTAAAACACATATTTATTTAATTTAATTGAAGAGCATTAATACCAAGTTTCAAGTAATTCTGATCATACATATTTTTTTGGATTGTATTCTAACGTGTTTTCCCGTGAGAATGAAATAATCTCTCGCGGTAAAAAGTTGCTTATGTCACTCTCCAGCCCTCCAACTACCTCCACACAAAAAATCACGCCAATTCTTTATTTCGTTTCGACGTGAAAGACAGACAAACAAACACAATTTCACATTTATAATATTAGTATCGATTTGGTATTTATACCTATACGTCTCTAATATAAACTTCAAGTGAATACTGAATGAAATTGTATTACCAAATCATACAAATAATAAATAAATAAGATATTGAAACAATTAAAGCGTACATTTAAGTTAAGGATTAATTATAATTTTATTTAATGTTCCAGATCACGAAATGAATTATTTATTACACTAACATTCGTGACACGGCACAATATTCATACATTGCTAGGTAACTAAATTGCTACATCAATAATATTTCTATTTATTCCACCGTATGTACTACTTATAAAATTTATACGCGAGCGACTCCTTTTCGTGCTACTCAAGCGCCAAGTATTCCCACGTATCTTTATCAACTCTTAATAAAATATTAATATCCTAAGATACTTTTTGTAGCGAATTAAACACTGATCAATGTTATTTTTCGGCCAACAAACAATATATACATGAAAGGAGAATAAACCAAGTATAAATTATAACTGTGTCGAATCTGAACATTAAATATTTTTTGGAAAATCTCACTGAAATAGTCATTATTATCGAAACAGAGGCCGACTCTATAGTTTTTAGAATTTTTGAATGTTTGTCTGTCTGTCTGGAAACGCATCACGAGAAAACTACTGGACAGATTTTGATAAAATTTGGTATGATAATAGCTTATTATACAACATAATATAGGATACTTTTTACTGCGGGAAAATATCTCATCTCTGAGAAATGTATACTAAAGATTAAAACGTAACTAGTAATAAATAATTAGTAGTAAAGCGATTAAGTATTAGTAAGGAATAATTTTGATATTTCACACAGTGATAGTGGCCTTATTCGGTCTTTAAGATTATAAGCAAAAAAATGTTCCAATTTCCAGTAATCTCTATGGTTTGATGTAAAATCCGAGCGGTTATTTAAATATCCGATACACTAAAGAAATAACTAGGTCAGGAATATAGCACAATAAAATTAAAAACTACATATAAAAACAATTAGATATAATTATTTTCATTCATACGTCTTTTATATTATTAAAAATAATCACCTATTTCCGAGCAGTAAATAAATGATATACCATTTTAAAATAAAACCTATTTCGTTTTTATATTACTTAACAATAATTTATTAACGAACTCACCTTAACTTTGCTCGGATTCGTCCCTAAGTACATTGTTAACGGTTACCATGGGAAAGATAGACTATATAGTATTCCTATATCCTCAAAAGTAGGATGAGTTGTTGTGGGTTGTATTATAACGTATTTACCTGTGGGAATGAGATAATTTCCCGCGGTAAAAAGTGGGCTATGTCATTCTGTTTAGATGTGAAAGTAGGACAAACAAACAAACATACTTTTACGTTCATAATATTAAATAATAATATTTAAAAACTAATATGGGTATAACTTCTTCATATTTGGTATATAGATATATCTAGAGAAAATAATATCGTTGTATTTGGTTTTTTTTTCGGGATAGAACAGTATCAACTATATAAACATACACTATATAACAGTAGAACAACAACCACCGCTAAAACTGAACAAGCATTAGTATGGTTAATGCAATCTTTCACGCCATACGAGAATAAAATAAAAATCATTTATTTGTAGAGTTCCTGCTGTAAGCATTAATAGGCAGATTCTATAATTAACGTATACGTAAAGTCGCAGAATAATATAGCTGTTCTTAATTTTACGGCCAAACAATTTATTTCAAACTAGCTGCTCACCCTCGCTTCGCTCGGTTTCATTTCTAGGTACATTTTAACGGTTAGTATGGAATATATATTATAATTTATTTAATTTATTTAGACAGACTATATATTATAATTTATATGATATATAGCCTATAGCCTTCCTCAATAAACGTTCTATCTAATGCAAATATAATTTTTCAAATCGAATTAGTAGTTCCTGAGATTAGCGCGTTCAAACAAACAAACAAACAAACAAACTCTGCCTCTGCGTAAATATTGAATTTGAGAATTTACTTAATAACTTGTCTAAAACAAAACATTAAGAAAAAAATATATCTTAGACTTAAGTGGAGAAGCTGCACAAAATTTCATATTACTTTATCTAAGGGGTTATTAGAACATTTATACTTGAACATTTTCTCTGTTTCAAAAATATGAGCCAAAATTGCTTCTAGTCTATCACGTAAAGCACATAAATATATTACTTTAACGAAATAAAATAAATATATCGTTTGATGCTACGTGATAGCGACTCAATGCCCGTGTGTTAGTCTCCTATACTGGCAAAGTGCACCTATTAGGCATTACGACTTTAAGGTAGTGCTATCGATTTAAAAATATAAAGATACTAGTGACTCACCCTCGCTTCGCTCGGGTTCGTTCCTAAGTTGCTATCCCCCTACTTTCATACCCATTTTTGCCCTCTTAAGGGATGATTTCCGGGATTAAAACCATGTCTATATAAATGTCTCAAACGTTCTTCTTACCAAATTTCATCTAAAGTGGTCGGAGTTTATTCGGTACAAACAAATAAAAAAAATCTTTCGTCTTTACAATATCAGTATAGATTGTTACGAGGGTTCTGAGATCGGAAATCAAAACACGATCTTTGCACTATAGATGTTTAATTACTTTAGCTTCAAGAAAGTAACTTTGTGAAGTTACATATTATACACTCGCAGTAGAGGCATAGTTTTAGCCTAGTCCAGCCTCTGAGCACTAATTTTCCATCACTAATTTTACTTACACATATCACTTGCCATTTATTCCAATTTTTTACTTTTCATATTTCTTCTCGATCTTCGTTTCACTCAACCGATCACTATCGAAGAAAATTCTATTTTTTTAGTAATTTCAATTCCTTTTTGAAAAGTCATTTGCCATCTCTCACTTTTGGCAATTGCTGTAATTGATACAATCGCCGCATACAATTAATTGCTAGCTTAGACATCGTCACATAGAAATAGCAGAAATATACGTCAAATGTACGGTACATTAGTACACTTTAGTTTTTAAAAAAGAAAAAAAAATACAGTCAAATTGAGAACCTCCTCCTTTTTGAAGTCGGTTAAAAACATACGAATATTAAGGTAATAAAATTAATATTACAAATAAATAAAATTGTGACAATGACATTTCCTTACTTTCTTTAATTATTCACCTATACATATAAATCTTCTGCAAGAAATTATCTAAATAATAGCAAAACCATATTAATATGTGCACAAAAGACACAAATATAACACTTTATTTTATTTATCATGTAATTTAATGATGTTTTCATAAAAATATTAAAAAAAAATATTATTTAGCAATCATATTTCAGACTGAGTAAGTTTTTCTAATATAACTATTTAAAACCACAGCGTGAAAGTAAGAAAAGTCTATATTATTTTTGCATTAATAACATAATCTGTACTTATGTTTACACGTTGATACGTGTAATGTCATCTTATCCTTCCTCATAGCAAACCGATATAGGTAAGTAAATCGCAATGCGGTGCGGCCCCACGCGACCGCTCGCTGACACCACGCTTCCGCCTTTCGAAAGTTTCTCGCTCTAATTACTTCGATGCAGACTTTTAGTCGGTCACGATATAATTAGTGAAAATATATATATTTTTTCCAGCTTTTAAGTATTTTCATTTTGAAGAGGTTTTAAGATTAAGTTCAACATGTTTCGTTTTAGTTTTATTAAAGGATAATGAGGTAGATGCTTTGTGTTTAAATTTCTTAATTTTTATGATCTATTTTTATGTATACTAAGTATTTATTAATCTTCTCTTTTTATCTGGCGAAAAAAA